ATAAAATTTGAATTATTTGTAGCTGGAGGTATGACCTTGGAGATTTAAATGAGTAATGAATGAAGGTGAAAAATCCTATTGTTAGTTAAGGTGAAATATCCTTTTATTGGTTGATATTATGATGATGCTCATTTATCCTGACTAGTCACTACAAGTATAATTCAAATTTTAATGTTAATTATCATTAATATATTTTTTTTAGTATTAATTATTGCTACACATGTTATGTGATTATAAATATTTATTTAAAAATTGTTCTCACTCCTTATGTTTTCTTGTGTAATATAATCATAAAAATAATTAAATAAATATAGATGGATGTTCCAGCAATTCCAGCTCATTTTCCTTCAGTAATTTCTGCAGTCTTCTCTAGCACAACATGGGGTGTTGATGTTGTAGCCAACTCAGTTACTTTCAATGGAATAGCTGTGTCTTCATTTACTTTTTCTCCAAATCAAAAAATTCCAATCGTGATAGATGGGCCCATAGTTGTTACTTTTTACTTACCTCCAGCAAATCATGTGAATCTTATTGTAAATTTGTTTCAACCACCCATGTAAATATTATAATAGAAGTAGAAAAAGAAACTATGATGTGTAAATAGGCACGTATGGGAAATGTTTTCAATAATATGTAATATATATGTAAAAGTAAGCAACTACGCACGTAATGATAAATATTTATGGTATGGTATGATGTATAATATTATTATTATACACGTGTTTTCTAGCTAGAAATATTATATATATATATATATATATACATATATTACTGAGATTAATATTAATACGACTAGGCGTTTACACTTGGCTCATCACGGGTCCAGGTTGAAGCGGGTTAGGAAAAAACTCACTATTATATATATATGTGTGTGTGTGTGTATAGTTATTATTTGAAATTTTGATTAATATTTTCTTATATATTTGTATTTGAATCAATGATAAGCTCGATTTCTTGATATAAACAAATTATAACTTTTTATTTTATCCATTAAAATAGGAACATGTTATTAAATTCTTATTTTTTTTAATTTTTAATTTTTCAAAAATCTATTGAGCCAACTCACCTAATTCACCATTTTGTGGTAGGTCGAGTCGAGTTAAAATTTTTCCAGCTCACCAGAAAGTGGGTCGAGTTGGATTGATCCATTTAAAACACCAACCCTTTAGTGAGCTAGCCCATGTGAGTCGAATTGACTCACTTTGACACCTCTAATGAGTGCTTCTAGTGTTATCTTTACTATTGCTCACTTAAGCAATCAAATGACTCACTTAAGCGAACATAGAACGCTTTGGTGCGCTTCACATTTGCTTTGAGCAGTTGTTTCTTATACCTAATGCTTTCGACTTTATCTCACTCAAGCGACTAAGTTAATTCACTTAAGCGAGCTTATCATACTTTACTTCTCTCTCTTGTTGGCCTTTCCTTCCTTTTTCCTTATAACTCAAAAACTAACAAAAGACATCAAAATTAACCACTTAAAACTTAAAGAAACTTACTAATTAAACATGACTAAATTAAAAATACTTAATTTTTACATAAATGTGGCTCCAAAGCATAAAATACTTTCGATAATTGTCCAAATTGGATAAAAGATATTGACATAATTAACAATTATTAAAGATATATTTGATAATAAAAAATATATATATAAAAGGAAATATACTTAGCATATAAGGGGTTGTAAATAACAAAAGTCCAATAAGAATAGGTTAATTAGATGAACCAACAAATCATTAATCTGAGTGGAATATTAATGTCCTTTAAACAAAGTCTCGAATTTGAATCTTTGAATAAGAAAAACATGGTTGATCCAAGTGAAACTATATTTAGATTCCTTAACTTTTTTATATTATTAGATAAAATTTTAATTCAATTATTATATAAAAAATATTTTTTTTTAAAATTTTCCCTTTCATTTTAATTAATCTAAATAGTAAGTTTATTATTTTATTTTCTTTCTATTTGTAACTTTCTCACTTTTTTCTTTCTTATCTTTTTGTAATCATATTATTAGCGTGAATTATCAACTAATTAACTTTATCGATAATTAATTTTTACAAGAGAATCCAACTGATTATTTTAGTGTCGTCTCCCTCCCAACTATGTTCTTTTCATTCAGAAACCTTATTTAAGAAAATCATGACTAATTTAAACAAGTTTATTGCACCCTCTCATCAATGGATGTAAAATGCAACTCGGATGACGCTGCAATGGCTCTCCTGGTCTTGCTGGTTGCGGAGTTATCTTTTGAGATCATCATGCTAGCAATTTGGGATGCTTCTCTTTTAATATTGGCATTAAGAATGCTGTGTTTGTTTGCGGAACTTTTGGCTGTAGCCAAAGTTGGGGAGATTGCTCATGCAAAAGGCTGAAACCATTTTTGGTTGGAGTGATGAGATTCTCATGCAATTAATTGTTCTAGCTTTCAAGGATCATCATTTGGTTCCCAGAATTAGGAATAGATGGAAAAACATTGTTTCGCTTACTAAATCTATGACTTTCATTGGGGGCTACATTTTTTGTGAAGACAATATATACTTGTGCAGATAGACTTACCTCACATTGAACTACTTTACAGTTCTGGTGGTGAGAGTTTACCCCATCATTCATTACTCCTTTCTTTGTTCGAGATAGACAAACTCTTTCCTTATTATAGGTTTAGATGGTGCTTTGTACTAATTTTCTCTTGGATTTTGGCTTCGTCCTCCCATGCTCCTTTTGTATATTGTCTTTGGTTGTTTTATGAGATTAGTCTTAATTTGCTGCTATGGATTTCTGTTTGCTTCGGTTTTGACATAGTTAGGATGGTTGCAAATTTTGGCTCTGAGAGTGCTTCCTTTTTGCTTAAAATAAAATAAAAAAAAAGAGAGAACAAGACTAGTCATGGTTTTAAATTGCGGACTGCAACACGTGTTGCGGCCGCAATATTGCTGTTGCGGCCTTGTCCGCAACGGCATCGGACCGTAATTGTGATGATACTGGAAATTACACATTTTTCCGCAACGTAACGGTGTTGCATTAGAACAGCCCGTGCTGGCTCGTCTAGAACGACCCGTTTTAAAATCGGAACGGCCCATTCTAAAATCGGAACGGCCCGTTCTGGAGTAGAATTTAACTCACAATGACCATTTTGGAACGACCCGTTCCAGTCCAAACAGTCTGTTAATACCTCCTGAAGGAAACGCCAATCCACTCTATCATAGGCCTTCTCGAGATCTAGTTTGAAAATGACATCACCCGTCTTCTTCTTAGATTTGGACAAAGTGTGGATGATTTCTTGAAGAATGATCGCATTATCCATAGTGCCCCTTCCAGGAATAAAGCTACTCTGAAAAGGACTGACTATCCTCATAAGAAATGGTCGTAACCGATTAACTAACACCTTAGAGACTAACTTGTATACCACGTTGCACAAGCTAATGGGCCGAAAATCTTTGAAAGTACGAGGATGATCCCCTTTAGGAATAAGAACCAATAGAGTTTCAGTAGCATGAGCATCAATTCTCCCATTCTCAAAGGCTGAAGCCACAAATCGCCACACATCATCCCCTATCATGTGCCAGTACTGTTTATAGAAAATTGGTTGGAATCCATCAGGTCCTGGGGCCTTAAAGGATTTCATACCTCGTAGGGCATCAAACACCTCCGCCTTAGAGACCGGAGCCTCCAAACTAGCCTGTTCCTCCATTGATAAAGATATAGGGCAAGGTGGTAGCACCTGAGGCATAGCCTCCGAAGCACCTAGTAAACTCTTGAAATACGCCAATGCTTCCTGCTTCAACAGATTCCCATCCGTACACCAAGCTCCTGATGGCAAGTGCAATCCTAGTATTCTATTACGCTTTCGTCTCACAACTGTTTGAGTGTGGAAGAATGCAGTATTTTTATTGCCCAATTTTATCCACTTTTCCCTTGACTTCTGATACCAAAGGGTTTCTTCCTGTTGAAGAACCAACTCATACTGCTGAAATAATTCTTGGTATAGTAAAGCATGACGGCGTGAATCAACCTTCTCTAGGTACCTTTCAAGCCCTCCCAATCGGGCTCCCAAAATTTTCTTACGGAGACCAATGTTCCCAAACACTTCCTTATTAAAGATTAGTGAGGCTTCCTGTACGCACTTCAGAGATTCCAAAATATTCCCTGAAGACTGTTGCCAAGCATTCCAGACCACAGCTTCATATCCTTGATGCGAACACCAAGCTGCCTCAAACCGAAAGGGTCTTTTATGCGCGACCATATACCCCCCACTGCTACGAAGAATAAGGGGATGATGATCTGAGTGAGCTCGGGGAAGAACTTCCACCACGGCCTCTGGGAAGGCTCTTGTCCAATGCACGTCGCTAAGGGCTCTATCTAGTTGTTTATGTAATGAGGCGAATCCCTGATGCATCCTATGCCAAGTGTACTTCCTTCCCAACAAAGGTATATTCATAAGCCCACAATTATCCATGTGCTGGGCAAACACAGATGCACGCGCGACCGAGAAGGAACCCCCTCTCTGCTCGGACGGTGCCAAGATGTCATTGAAGTCACCTAACAATAGCCAAGGTACTGAAATATTGTTCCGTAATGCCTGTAAGTGCACCCAGAGATTTTCACGCACCCTCGGAACAGGGTGGCCATACACCCCCGTGCAACACCATGTCAACCCATTTGACGACAATTGGATGGTGATAGCCTGCGGATGTGATTCTACCACACGCCCATGAATATCTGAATTATCCTTCCCTAGAGCCCAAATACCTCCAGAATGGCCACGGGCTTCTTGAATCGAAAGAGGAGAGTAGCCCATCCTCTTCCAGAATATTTCCACCTTTTCGAAAAGTACATGAACTTCAAATAGGAACACCATATCAGGTTTATATTGACGAATAGTCTGACTAATGTGCAGTTTATTCATCCTACCCGCAGCCCCTCGCACATTCCAAGCTAAAATAGAACAGTGGTTTGTATTCATTGGACACCCAAATCTGCATAGGTCAATCACCCCAATGCTACTTCTGAGGGTGAGGCGCAACATCTTCTCCAACGTCCATATCTTCCTCCAAAGCAACTCCGTCAGAATTGTGATCCACTCCATCACCTACTGTAACCCCATCAGCTGGCAAAGCGTCATCAGGGGGTCTCGGTGCATGTTGCGGAATAATATGAGGTTGCGGTGGATCTCCAAAACTTTGTACATACGAGCTGTATGGTGGTTGCATGTGTGTATGTAGTGGTTTCATACCAGTTTTTACGTGTGCATGAGCACTAGTCAAGGGAATAGACACCGTTTGATTCTTCAAACAGTTCACAGTTTTCTTCATAGCCATTGTTTGCGACGACGACCCCTCCTCCGTTGACTCCGCTGGCTCATGTCTCGAACGTTTACCCTTACTCTTTGTCCACACTTTCGAGGTATGATCCACAAAGTGCCGCTCAGGAGTGGATCCCTGATTCTCGGTACCTGAAAATATTGTTGTATTCAAATAATCAGCATTCATTGGCCCCTGATTCGTATCCTTTTCTCTCCGTAATACTTGGAACGGATTATTTTTAAACTTAAATTGAGAATCCCCTCCTTTATATCCCCATTTATTCTCGCCACCTGTAACGCCTTTATATTTGTCTCCCCGTTTGAATTTCGTAACCACCATCCAATCCCCGTGGACCCCATCAGCATCGAAATCCACTGTTTGAGTATGTGAATGTACGTCAGTTGCCGGCGGAGCCTCCCGAGGAACCTCTCCCTCTCTCTCTACACCATCCAAACCTTGAACAGCACATTGGCGAGCCACATGCCCGTAACGACCACACTTCGCACACAGTAGATGGAGACCCTCATACTCAATTTTGAACCAGACATTTCTAAACCAAACCTTCCCCACCACTGGCTCATTTAAATCAATCTCCACGCAGACCCTCGCGAACTTGCCCCGTGTCGCATTCATAGTCATGAAATCAACCTTCACTGGCCTTCCAACAGCAGTCGCCAACGCAAGCAAGACACTCTCGTCATAGTATTCCATGCCCAGACTAGGGAACCGAATCCATACCAGCGCCTTATCAATACGCACTTCAGCTGCTACGAAATCTGGAACCCATTCCCGAACTGCTAGATAATGATCAAACATCATCCATGGCCCTCCGGTAATGACTTTATCTCTATCCTCCTGCATATCAAATTTGACCAAGAAGAAGCCATGGCCAATATCCAATACATCGTAGCCTCCAGCCAATTTCCAAATGCCACGTAGTTTCTCCTTCATAGTAAAGAAACCGACTGACTTCCCCAACAATTTTATGACCACCGCCTCCTGCCAAGGTTCCCTGAGGGGTTGCAATACCTCATCACTGATAAAACACTTCGGCTTTAACCGATTTCCATCCTCAAATTCGATTCGGAACAGATTGTGCTGTATAAGATCGACTGCTAGAGGTCGAGGAGCTGCCTCTTTATTTCCAATAAGCTTATCCCTAAAGGAAACACTCGAATGTCAATGCACATCTGGTGGCTCAGGAGGGCGGGGCGCAGGGCTCTCACGAAGACTTTCTCCATCCATCTGCCATCGCAATACCCGCAATACCCGCAACCGCAATAACTGCAATCGCGACCGCAACCACGACCACAACCACGACCACGACCGCAACCGCAATTTAAAACCATGAGACTAGTTATACTCAACGACTTGTTGATATTTCTTTCCTATTTCATCCTAGTTCTATAAGGCAGATGAAAATTAAGTAAACTTGTTCTGCAACTACTTTCTTATTCATTTAACATAGGGGTGATAAAAACCCGTGACCCACCCACAATCCGTATTAACCGACGTAAATTTAAGTTTTTTGATTGAGTAAAATTTCTTCTTCGGATTTTCAAAACAAAATTTTCGGTTACACATGAATAACATCGGGCGGGTGCAGATTGAAGAAAAAAATCTGTAGAAGTCTGCACCCAACCGAATAAATATACATATGAAAAAAAATCTGAATAGTTATAACTATTAAATATTATTATCATGTAAAATATACATATATGTGACTTCTTTATTTATAAAACTAGTTAATAAATTAATGTATGGAACTTTGTGCAACTGACAAGTAGAAAATTTATACCTACTTGGCCACCTCATCATTTTATGATAATAATTACTCCTACGTTTTGATTTATCCATCAAATTAAATCTCCTCCTTTTTACTGTTGATTTCTACTCTCATCAATCTTTTACCCATAATAAAAATGTTAAATTAATCAAATGGTCACTCTCTCATCTATCTATCAAAAATAAATATTTTCTCCTTTTTGTTGTGATTATTGTGCTTATCAAAAATATTTTTGAAGATATTTCTTTTTTTTTTCTTCTATAAAACAAAATATATTCTTTTCCCTTCACTAGAGACTAGAGGTTGTTTCTCTTGCATGGAACATAATAAGTTATAGTTCTGAAATACAGTTTAACAACACCAATAAAGACTATCGGATGTCCACTATCCGCTTAAATCAAATTGATAAACCCGCAATCCGTTTAGAGAAATTTTACTGTATTTACTATAATTGTTGAGTACCGAAACAGTTATTTTATTTTTAATTTTTTTTATTATATTTACTTATTTTATTTTTATTTTTATTTAATATTTTTAATAATTTATCTGTATAAATTTTTTTTATATTTTTATATTATTTTTATATTTTTTAATTTATATTTTAATGTAGCATTTATTATAATTAAAAAGTTTAATATTAATATTTTGTCACATAAATAAAATTTGTTATGAAAAAATTGACCTTTTGATTATTTTTTTTTAATTAATCTTTTTGATTGATTCATCTTATACAAGTTTTTAATCTAAAATTTACGTTATTTTTAATTTATTTTTTAAAATTTATTTATTTACATAATTTGATGTACCAAAATCCTTCAATTTTTATAGGTACCATAACAACTCCCATCCATTTAAACTAAAACCCGCATAAACCGATCACTTACACAATCGACCTTAAAAAAATACGCACGATTCTAAGGCCATATTTTAGGCCTATATGTATATTATTTTAACACTTCCAGATTGTTGTACATTCTTCTCCCTGAGCCGTACCAATGTACCATAAATCCAAAGCTGTACTATATATTGATTATTCTCAAGAAAAAATTATTCTATAAAATATATTTATTCCGTCCTAGGTAACGGAGGGCCAGTAACAGTTGTTGTTATGTTACATGCGTATCTTCTTTTGGCGCAATGATAGGTGTACGCAAAATTGGTAGAACAAACTGTTGTATCCTACTATTTACCGTGTGAGTAAAACTTTCGGGTCCTTGCATGTAGAATCAAAGCCAATAAGGTGCAAAAGAAACAAAAGCAACCCCATATAAAATGTGTTTCTATAGCATTCCATGCCCATGCAATTTCCATGTCTATTTCCATGTTCATGTCCTTCCTTATTGTATAGAAGTGCTGCTGAGTAGCCAAACAAAAACGAGCCAATTGGAATGTTGGCCACCACCAAATTATGGTTCACTGCAAAATTCTCAGTGCCAAATAGCTCAGTGGTTGTGGAAACAGCAATGGAAGTGATTGCTCCAGTGCACACTCCAATCACCGCAGTGCTGATGTATAGTGCAAGGTCAGTTTTGTTGAGAAGTAAGAAAAATGAACCTGTTGTTGGAACCATCACTGCCAATATAGTAGCAGGTCTTGAAATTCTGCACTTTCCCCTGAACACAACAGTTATCACTTATCAAATAGCACATCTACAATGATCAAAGTTTCAAATTGTGGTGGCATGGTTGTGGTTTCATCTAGGGCATGTAAGACACAATGCCATCGAAGGCTTTGTCTTAGGCCCTAATTATTTAAGATTTTTTCTTTTACCTTTTTAATAAATTATTATTTATTTATATTGTTAGGTGATAAATTTAATTTTGAAAAGATATATTATTTATTATTATTTTTATTAGTAAGACTATATAATCCTAAAAAGATAAATATGAATGTTATTACAAATCATTTAAGCGTAATTTTATTATTAATTGTTTTAAAAAGTAAAAAAAAAAAAAATTAATGTGCATTTGGACTTTACCTCTCCTCATCATTTAAAAATAAAAAATTGTTGAAAATAGTGAAGAGTTTAAAATTAATGAATGAATTTATTATTGGTATATATATATATATAGAGATATTTTTGGTCAAAATGATAACTAATAATATTTTTTTAGTGATTATTTCGTATAAATATTCGAACAATTTATATTTTTAGTTGAAAGTCGATTTGAATAATTTTGAGATGTTAAAATACTTTTTAATCATTTTAATTACTTAATTTTTTAGTTTTTATAATTTAAAATAGATATTTTTAACCTTTGTATTTATCTTTTTAATAATTTTTAGTCTCTATAATTTAAGATAATATTTTTTAGTCTTTGTGTTTAAAGTTTTTTTCATCCTTTTAGTCACTATTATTAATTTTTTATATTGAAACACCATTTTTTTACACTCACAAAATTGAAGACCCGTATCACATTAATACAAAAGAGACGATATTACAAAAAGAATTAAGACATAGATTAAAAAAGAATAAAAAGGTAAATATAAAAATTAAAAAGATATATCTTAAATTATAAAGATTAAAAAAAGTTAATAAAGATAAATATAGCAAGTACAAAGTTTTATTTTAAACTATAAGGAGTAAAAAACAAAGTGAATAAAATTATAGAGATTAAAAAAATATTTTAATCATTTTTAAAATAAAAAAAATATAAGAAAATTAAGAATTTATATTAAATTAAGATTTGAATATAAATTTTGTCTTAAGTTTTATAATTTCTAGACAAAACCCTAATTTCATGGTGTTCTTTAATATTGTGAGAAATTAGGGATACTGTACATATAGTCACAGTTATAGATAACTTAAAAACCTTGACATTGTAAATTTTTAATCAGCTATTTTTTAAAATGTTGATAGTCATTATTATATTGAATGAAATTAGATAGACTAGAGTCTAGAACTCACAAACTCACATGGTAATAATTATTTACATTAAATGAAATTAAATATACGTGCAATGATTCTACAGTACCTGTAGAAGTAGTCCAAATATGATGGAATGAGACGGCCAAAAAACCCAAAAGATGAAGACAATGACACCAAAGATGAAGTACCAGAGTATCCCCTGGATTCAGCTATTTGTCCCAAGTTATTAAGAAACACTAAACCAATCGTTGCTCCAGAAAAGTATACCAAGAAATACAACCAGAAATCTATTCTTCTAAGCAACAACTTCACTCCAATTTCTTCTCTCACAGCAACCACTTGAACTTCTCTGCTATCTTCTCCTTCATCTTTCACCTCATTATTTTCTATCCTCTCCTTATTAGTGTTTTCCCCATGAAAAATATTTTGGATTCTAATGTGTCTCACTCTATTTGTGTTCCATGATCCAACTTCCTTGAATTTCAAAGAAACTGGGACGACTAGAGGCAAAAAAAGGGACACTAGAATACCAATCAGGATGGCCAAAGAAGATATTTTTCTCGTGACAAATTGCAAGCTGCTCATCACAGCATATATTCCTGTGACAACTGTAATAACAAACAATAAAGCAAATCCAATACTACTGTTCTTAGGACCTGTGGCTTTAAATTCTCTGACTAGAGGAGCTGCTAAAAGGGAAACTGTAAAGGGCAAGAGTGAGTTAAGGAAGAGAAAGGTTCTAGCCTTGTGGTGTGGAGAAAAAGCTCCAACTATGTTGGTATAAACCTTTGCACTTAGTCCTTGATAACTAGTTGTTATTCCCAAAGCAACTTGACCTTCAGATGGGAAGTTCCTTATGGTGACAACATAGCACACTGTGTTGATCCAAGAAACGCTATTGCCAGCAAGGAAAGTTAGTAAAAAAATATGCCAATAGGACAAAGAGAAAATATGGTTGGTTATGAAGAGATATTGCACACCATAAGCAATTAACCCTAGAGTTGAACCAATGAAGAGAACAAGCCATAGAGGGAGATAAATGGAAGCAAGGCCAGAAATCCAGCCAAAAAGTTTGCCTGCATCAGAGGCAAAGGCAAGGTTATTGAGCTGCACTTGGGAGATGGAAAGAAGCTGTTTCAGCTGGGAAGAGTAAGCAGGAAAATTAGTGTTTGTTCCACTTATGGCTTGGAGCCAAATGATGCCTACAAGGCTTAGCCATTGATGAGAAGAAGAAGGAGTGGTGAAGAAAGTTGCGAAAGACATTTGAATATATTGCTCTTCTTGTCTCATAAAGGTGAGGGATGCGAGCTTATATTTTTTCGGAAGAGTATAATTAATTAAATTGCTAGGAGCCTAAGTTAATTCATACACCGCATCTTAAATGTATAGAAAATACTCAATCAATAAGTTTTTGTTAAATACTAATGTAATTTTTATTAAATATTACCGTTTAATAATTTTATATTAAATAAATTTTATAAATCTAATCATAACATTGAAAGTTCTTTAATTTTATATATATTATATATATATAATTTTATATTAATCTAAAATAATTTAATATTTTATTTATATAAAACAAAATTAATACACGCACGCACACACACGAAAAACATTTGAATATGTTGCTCTTCTTGGCATAAAGGTGAGAGATGTGAGCTTATATTTTTCAGAAAGAGTATAAATCAATGTAA